CTATTGGATAGGGTGCAGGGGTGCAAGTACTATAGCAAGATAGACTTGAAATCCGGATATCATCAGATAGATCACAATAAGACCTGAGGACCAACACAAGACAGCTTTTCAGACGCGTTATGGTCTGTATGAGTTTGTAGTGATGCCCTTTGGTCTTTCAATGCGCCGGGTACATTCCAGCACGCTATGAATCGGATCTTCCATGACCATTTAGATAAGTTTGTCGTGGTCTACTTAGACGACATTCTGATCTTTAGTAAGTCTACCGAGGAGCATGCACAGCATGTTGAGACGGTACTTTCACTCCTTCGACAACACAAGTATAAGGTCAACTTAGAGAAGTGTGAATTCGGTCGCACTAAGATACTATACTTGGGTCATGAAGTATCCGCGGAAGGGATTAGGCCGGAGGATGCGAAGGTGGCTAGTATTCGAGACTGGCCACGACCTCAGACTGTCACTGAGGTCAGATCATTCTTAGGGATGTGCGCCTACTATAGGAACTTCGTAAAGAACTATTCTACAGTCGCCTCTCCTTTGACTGATCTAACTCATCTGGACACACCGTGGGATTGGAGTGATGAGTGCGAGGGTGCTTTCAAGAGATTGAAGCATGCACTGATAAATCATGAAGTCCTCATGGTTCCCGATCCGCAGAAGCCATTCGTAGTGACCATTGACGCAAGCCAATACGGCATTGGCACAGTGCTGGCTCAGCAGGATGGGAAAAAGTTGAGACCGATTGAGTACATGAGTGAAAAGATGCCATCGAAGAAGTTGGCTAAGTCCACCTACGAAAGGGAACTCTATGCTCTCTACAAGGCACTTGTCCATTGGAGACACTTCCTTTTGGGAAGATTCTTCTATCTGAGGACTGATCATCAAACCCTCAAATGGATCAAGACTCAACCGGCTCTTTCTGATGCACTCAGGCGATGGATTGAGGTCATAGACCAATATGACTTCAAGCTTGAGTACCTGAAGGGAGAGTACAACAAGGTTGCAGAAGCGCTATCCCGTAGAGCAGACTACCTAGGTGCGCTAGTTTCTGACTTTGGCATATCTAATGAAGTAACTCAATCATTGGTGGGAGCCTATCAGGAAGACCCTGTTACGATGGACATCATCCGCGAACTTCAGGCAAAAGACAAGGCCACAGAAAGTGAGTTTGTGATGGTGGACGGGCTACTCTATCTTGATAAGGCCAGAATAAAGAGATTGGTAGTTCCATCTAGTGAACAGTTGCGTAGTTTATTTTTAGGAGAATGCCATGACGCAATGGGTCACTTTGGCTACAAGAAAACGAGTGTTAATCTAGTACAGCGATTTTGGTGGCCTGGTATGTTTGATGACGCAAAGAAGTACGTAAAGACCTGTCAGGTCTGTCAGCGGGACAAACCGCGAACTCAAGCACCGCTTGGGTTGCTTAAGCCCTTACCTATTCCCGCTGGTCCAGGACAGAGTGTTTCCATGGATTTCATGTACACCCTGGTAACCAGCAAGAGTGGTAAAAGGCACATCTTCGTCATCATAAACCGATTCACCAAGTATGCTAGACTAGTTGCCATGCCAGAAAGTGCGAGGACTGGCCATGTCATCAAGTTGTTTAAGGACAACTGGGTGCGGGACTTCGGTTTACCAAAGACTATCGTTAGTGATAGAGACGTCCGATTCACAAGTGAGCTATGGAAGAAGACTGCGGAACAAATGGGCAGTCAACTTCAGACGACTTCAGGGAATCATCCCGAAGCCAACGGACAAGCCGAACAGATGAATAGAGTTGTACAACACTTGCTGAGGCATTACATCAAGCCCAGCCAAGATGATTGGGATGAGAAGTTGCCACTCATCGCCAGTCTGTACAACAATGTTTTGCACAGCAGCACCGGCGTGAGTCCTAACCAGCTACACTTGGGATGGAAGCATAGATCCGCGTTAGACTTCCTCCTACCTGAAAACCGACCTGCTGCAACCCCAGGCACATTGGAGTACGGTGTGCATTATGAGAAGTTGCTGCAAGAAGCTGTCGAGCACATGAAGAAAGCTCAGCAAGCAATGATTGCTTCTGAGAATCAACATCGTAGACAATCCACATTTCAGGTAGGGGAACGTGTCTGGGTCAAGGCTGCGAGCTAGGACAGGAATTCGGAATGTCTCATAAACTAATGCCTCAATACTTTGGTCCCTGGGAAGTCTTAGATATAGTGGGAGATGAGATGGATGGTCCCACTTATGTCATTCGTGTCCCTGGACACCTACGCACTCACCCAGTCTTTCATGCCTCAAAGCTTGCACCTTTCGCTGAGATTGATCAATTCCCTTCCAGGAGATCGATGCTGCCCCCAACCATGGATGGACAAGTCGACATCGATGACATTGTGGATCACAGGGACATGCCTGTTGCAAAGCCG